GGGGGGGGGGGGGGTGCCCGAGGAGAGGGGAGAAGTTTCGGGAAAGGGTGGAGGGTGAAGACGAAAGCATCTCGAAGCGGGGAGGGGGGGGACTAATGCGTTTTTTAGGTGGCAAGCGGGGAAGGTGGACCCGGAAGTGGAAGCCAAGAGGGAGACAGAAGCAAACGGAACAGGGGAGAGACGAAACAAGCTGCGACTTTAGCATCGCTCATCCGGTTCTTCCGTATTTCGGACACGAGCCTGGAAAATAACAGCTATTTCGTGAAGGATCGCGAACTCGGGTGTCGCGCTGCTTCCGGTTTTCGTGTCTACCTCGATAACGAAGCCAAATTCCTTGAGTAGAACGGAGACACGAGAAAGTCGACTCGGGACGGATAATGAGGAGGACTGCTGCAACGGAAGATGAACGCGACTTATGCAAATAGTTAAACGTCCTTCAGTCTTCGAGGAAAAGAGAGCAGCAGGCGAGGAGAGGAGGAACAAGGAAGAGCCAAAGACGTTTTCGATGAGGTTGCTCCGTCTACTGCGTCTACGTCTACTGCGCGATGGACGCGCGTGGGTTCGGGCACGTTCGCAAGTCCCCTCCGCTGCCCTCCGCTGCCCTCCGCTGCCCACCGCTCCCTTGCCCCTCAATGGCTACACTCGAGCGCGGCTTCTGACTCAGCTGACCCGGACCAACCGCTTCAACGGAGATTCCAGTTCCACGGGAAATAACGCGAGCCACCGGTGAGCGTGCACGCGTGCGACTATTGTCATTTTCAAACTGGCCACCTGGTATATCTGAACCAAACGAATTGAGAGGTACCACATTTGACTAGGATGCCATTTATGGCCAGTGGAAAAGATCAGAGTTCAGGGCGCACGTAATGTGAGAAGACGGAATTCTGGACCGACGGGACGTTCGATCGAATCCAAATGCAATAAGCGCGAATGAGAGAATGCCGAGGAAACGGGAAACGAAAGGCGCGAGACTGGCAAGGAGAAGCGCGGAAGGGAGGAGAGTGCTGCGCGAACGAAGGGAAGCAGAAGCCGAGGTGGTGCGGGACGTCGAGAGGAGCCGGTGTCGTCTTCGTCTCGTCTTCGTGCCGCCTCCTTTCCATTTTAAAACGTACGTGCACCGCATCGCTTACTATGTACTCCCGTATTTTCCAGGAGGAACGTTTCGTCGCTCCATGCATATGAAATTCGCATTAAGCGCCGGCAGCGGACGGGCCGGCGACTACGTCTGCCGTCCTTCTCGAGAGGCAACGAGCGAGCACGGGACAGAGGAGGATGGACCGAGGAGGACTGGATCGGCCGATCGCGACACGCTGCGACCTCCCAATCGGAAAGTGATTCCAGCGACGAAAGAGACCGGCAGACGTCGGTCTGACCCAGCGCAGAGTCAGAAGCAAGTGCCACCTGTTACGGGGAGGCCAGAGGAGCCGAAGGAACCGCAGGAATCGGTCTCGATTGCTGGATCGATCGGGGGACTGATCGGCGTCCTCGGAGAATCGGAAGTAGAGAATGATGTTCCTCCGCGCCGAGGGAAGACCGAAGGTGCCAGTGAAGATTCTGGTGGGTCGGCGCGGGGGCGTCGGTTCCATTGATGTCAAAGCTCTGGAAAAGGCCGAAATTCGATGCCGGTGCGACGGCGAAGACGAAGAAGCGTTTCGGGTCGGTTGGATCGAAGCGACGCTGAGACGTCGCGGAATGCCCCCCCCCCCCTCTGGCCAAGTGGGCAAGGGGAGGGCGGGGGCAGCCACGGCAGAGTGACTGTCAACGCGAATGAGTCCCCCAACAGCTCCGACCCCCAAAGCAGCGTCGCCGAACGCGCAGTACCCATCGAGCATGGCCTCGCTGTACACGTGAAAATCCATGGAGTTCAGTGACTGCTGCACCCAGCCTTATAGCGACCTGGACTTCCTCCGTGACTTCAGCCTCGCCCCTCCTCCACCGCGCTCCGCACTTTAACTCGACTCGACGCGACTCTGCGTCGACTCCTCGCAATCTCCGCTTCCACTGAATCGGCAGAGGCTGCTTCACTGAAAAACCCCATCAAGGGTCAAACACGGTTGCGAACCGACGCCGTCGCGACTTTGCTTCTTTTTCATTCCCAAGCCGACGCTAGTCAATACAGAAGCAGAAGAAGCGCTTGCGAACGTCTGCGAACGTCTGCACGGACGATCGAGAAAAGAGATCGGCGTCGAGCTGCTTTCAATTTCGCTCCTTCTTTTCCCCATCGTTCACTCGCTCCCCTGGCCCTCCCCTCCCCGCCCCGCACTTTATCCCTCGCTCTCTTCTTCATCTCGCCTTCTATCTCGGGGCTCCTCCAGAAACACCACGACTTGCGTCCTACCCTGGGGAGGGAGAGAGAGAGAGAGAGAGAGAGCAGGGGATGAGGTCGGCCACCTCCAAGTGTCGGGGGGTTACTAATCACTCCGAGTGCCGAGAGAAGAGAAAGAACTCGGTCCGTCCCCCTGCCGGCAGCCCAACCCCACTCGCTCCTATCTCTCTAGCAGCTCCTCTCCGATCCCTCACTCTCCTCTGCGTATCCTTGCTTAACCCCTAGACGCCAGACGTCTGTAGCAGAAGGGCGGCGGGGGGCCAGAGGAAGGGAGGTAACGACGCTCGGATTATTTCGACTCCTTCGAAAGACATAAAACAGTCAAACGAATCCAGCCTCCGGCGACAATCAGGCTGCTCGACGTCTGCGCGAAGGCGATAGCCGCATCGGTCTTTGTGTTTCGCATGGCCACGAGATGCACTGAATCATAGGAGGTCGGGAGGTAGGGAGGTCAGAGGGTCAGGGAGTCGGAAGGGCGCACGGCCGCTCGCGCGAAAGAATCAGAGGAACGCCGCTCGTCGGTATCATCACTCCACTTGGATAACGGAGCGATCGTCAGGCTTACCACTACCCCACGTTGCGTATCCTTCTCTCATCCTTTGTACATTCCGTAAGAAGTCATTAAGTTCGGCCCGAGAGCCTTTGGCGCGTGCCCTCTGTACTCTGTATCATCCCCCTTTCCTTGCAGTCGATGTTTCTTTTTCCGCCCCCCCCCCCTTTTTCGTTGTTCTACCCCACTCCCGATTTGTACCTCTTCCACCCACAATCCCCTCCCTCCTCCGGAATCGCCCTTACCTTCGTCCTCGTGCTTCTCTTCTTGGGCGTACGACTCTCGTCAAGCCACCGCATTATCCCACCCTCTCACATACCAGTATTGATTCTGCCCTCCCGCTCGCCATTCGTGAGTGCGAGAGAGACGAAGATAATAAAAGGGAAGCAGGAGCAGCGACGATGTACCATCGGTTCGCTATATGTGTAATCTGTGTGGCAGCTGTAGTATGCTGTGAAGTGTAGGGCTGTATATGCTATGCGGCATAACGTCGACTGACGTACTGCCAGGTAGTCTCTGTGTGCGAGAGAGAGAGAGAGAGAGAGAGAGAGAGAGAGAGAGAGAGAGAGAGAGAGAGAAGCCGCGCACTAAACTCTCCACTGTACGTACATCCTGTAAATTTTCTGCGCGCTATAGCCTATACTCCTACAGTACCAAATAGACTCTAGCAGGCTGGCAGATTGCGTATAGAGTGTACACATTCAGCGCGGACTAAGGACTCTACCAGATCCTGTGGTTTCGTCGTGTAAACGTCATAGTGTTGATGCTGCTTATGGCAATGGTAGTGCAGAGCCGCGGACGTCGGGGTCAAGCAGTTTAATGAATTACGCTAAATACTGGACTGACTACGTGGCTATGCGGAGTCGTGCACAAAGTATATATTTAATATATGTATAGTTAGAAGGTAGAGACGAGAGCATCTACCGCCTAGCATATAGGTAGAAGGATCGAAGCACCGACTTATTACGAGAGCTTCGGCCATAGTGCGGTGGTAGTCACGGAGAGAGAGAGAAAGAGAGAGAGAAGGAGAGAGAGAGTAACAAAGAGAGAAAAAATGGCTACGTGTCGCTTAGCGAGTTTGTTTCCCTCGGATCTATAGAAGCGACGCGCACGAGGGGATATCGTAAAAACCCGCAAAGCGATTACCCCTCGACTCGCATGGATCCGATATCCATCCAGCTATGCTTATGCCGACGCTCCACCACCGTTCCCCCATTTAGCCATTCTTCCATTCCTCCGTTCCTCCATTCCCTCTGTCGATCCGTTTCCTAAACACGCATCAGGCGCCAAATTCCCTCGAATAACACAAGAGCCGCATGCTTGTACAAAAGGGCTACCCTTGTGGCAGCCATACGAGGGGGATGACGTCGACGTCAAATGGCTCGGAGGCAAGATAAAAAGCAGAGTTGCTGACCAGGGTTAATCGGTTACGAGCTCACGGGCCTCCCAGCGATAACCAATGGCAGAGCCCCGTGCGACTACCAGTCACGCGAACTGCCTACATTCGAATCTCGATTCGCCCTTCCTCCGTGCTTTAGATATCAAACTTTTATACAGACAACAATGACTGTAGTAGGCAGTACTTTGTAACGATGACGAAACGCAAGAAGAAAGAATTATTATAAAGAAGAGGAGAGACACGGGCGCGCAGGAAAACGGCAAGAGTCGAGAGTT